CTCTAAGCACCAGAAGCCATCTCTTCAATTTCCTTTACCAACTCTCCCCCAGGTCATCAACAATACAATAAAAGTAAAATACTCTTCCCTCAATTGTCAGTAACAGAATAATCATTCCTTTCTGCTGTCCCTTATGTGGGGGGCTTTGCAAGCTTTAGTTCCTTAATGAATACATAAAACAGCAGACATGGGCTTTCTGGCATTCCCTCTTTAAAAAATAAAATTACATCCTGATTAACTTACTCCTTCTCATCCCTCTCCATTGCCTGTACTTCTTGGGTTCCCCTCTACTTGTGACCCAAAGGGCAATAAGACCTGTCATAGCCTAGCTCTGCTCTCTACCTGCCTCTTGCTTTCAAAAGCCTATCCATCCCATTTGTTTTAAAAGTACAAACATTAAACAATTAATAGCATCTATGATGAGCTGTGACCTGGGATACTAAGTGGCATACAAATGAAACTAGTCTTACTTAAAAGACTACAGTGTGATATATTTCATACAAAGATATTTATCAACCGGGGAAGGAGCAATTAACTCTTCCTGAGAAGTGTCAGAGGAGTTTTAAGTTGGACTTAAAAGAGAAGCAAGGGCCAGGGATTTAGCTCAGTGGTTCCATCGCCTGCCTCACAAGTGCAAGGTCCTGAGTTCGATATCCCTGGTACAAATAAATAAATAAATAAGAAGCAGAGTAATACTTGCAAACTCATGTTTATAGCAGCATAACTCATAACAGCTAAATCTTGAAAGTGGCCCATTTGTCCATCAACAGATGAATGGATAAAGAAAATGTGGTATTTACACACAATGGAGCACTAATTTGCCCAGTAAGAATGAACTTAAGTCATATGTAGGAAAATGGTTGCATCTTGCAATCATAGTGTTAAGTGAAATAAATCAGACACTCAAGCTTAAATATTTCATGGTTTCTCTTATATGAGAAACCCAAAATATAAATACAGAGCAAAATAAAAGACAGATAATAGGAAATGGGGAGACGGATCTTTTGAAAAAGGGAAGGGGACCAAGAGATGAAGGGAAGGGAATGAGGGAGGGAAATGGGGATGAAAAAATAATTAAGACTTGTTATGCACATGTACCAACTCCCTACAAAGAATGTAATCATTATTTACTGCAAACATGTACCAATAAAAATAAAAAATTTAATTTAAAAAAGAGAAAAACAGGGCCGGGGATTTAGCTCAGTGGTTTCGCTGCCTGCTGCGCAAGCACAAGGACCCGAGTTCAAGCCACAGTACCAAAAAATAAAAATAAAAAAATAAAAAAGAGAAGAACAGATCCAAAAGACAATATGTACACTTTTTTTAAAAGCAAACATGCAGGAATGCCTTCTTCATGCCAAGTTTTGTCTTAAGCATTGGAGCTGCAGACAAGGCATTTACAAATGCACCCAAATAATGGCAATACATGCATGTTATACTATGGAGAGAGTTACAGAACAAACTGCCACAGGAATTCACAGAGAAATATTTAAGAGTCCATTTCTCACTAGGTATAGTAGGCAGAATTCTAAGATCCGCCCCCCCCGCCCCCGCAAACTCCTGGCATCTGTTGTATACCTCCCATATAATTCCGGGGACAGTGACTATGATGAAATTTGCTCCTTATGGTTATATGATATGGCATGGTTGGCATTAAAGATGGAAGATTATCTGGGTTGGCCTGACCTAATTACGTGTTTTTAAAACTCAAAATATTCTCTGATTGGTTAAAGAAATCAGAAAGATTCGAGCGCTGAAAGGGATTCCATGTGAAGGAGGTACTCTGTTGATGAACCAAAGGGACTTTGTGGCAAGGATCTGAAAGCAGTCCCCAGTTGACATTGAGCAAGACAATGGGTATCTTAACAGGGAATATCTACAACCAGGTAGGAATGGATATTTACAACCAGGGAGGAATGAGTTCTGCCAACAACCTGAAGAAGTTTAGGGCCGACTTTTCCCTCGCTGAACCTCTGAACACTTCAGTTTCAGTGTTATGACACTCTGATCTGAGAAATTTGCCACACTGTGCCAGATTTCTGACCTCCAAGACTGAGCTATTCAGTGGGTGTTGTTTTAAGATGTTAAATTCTGGTAATTTATTATTCAGCCACAAAGACTAATATGAACATATAACACTGTGCTCTCATAGCTGTTAATGTATTCATTTCCCCAACTATGTGCTCCTTGGATTCAGGCTGTCACTAATTATCCCTGTAATCGAGACACTAAAATTCCACTGAATGAAAGTGTAAATAGGGCCGGGGATTTAGCTCAGTGGTTCTGCTGCCTGCTTCACAAGCGCAAGGTCCTCAGTTCGATCCCTGGTACCCGCCCCCCAAAAAAGAAAGTGTAAATGAGACACAGGGATGTAGATCAGGATCTGGACACATTCTGTTTATTTCCTTTTCCCAAAGATGGGTGTATGGACACTAAGACCCACACCTGGACTGAAGGAGGAGGCTCCCTTTCAGTCAAATGCTCCAAGGCATTTAAGACAAGCAAGTAACCCAGCCTCAGTGTCCCATCTTTGGCTTAGGTAGATTTCCTTCCAAGAAGCTCACAGATGATCTTCAGTCAGGACACCCCGCAGGACCTGAGAGTCATCATCTTCTGAATGATATTTATACCAACTCCACACCTAGCACAGCAGGGGTCTCAGAATTTATACACCACTGTTTAATGTTAGCTATACATGAAAGCCAAATATGAGTATTTTTGAGCAGCCAAAATAGAAATCAAAAAGTCTTTGAACCTCTTTTATTCATTTTTTTTCTGCTCTTCTTTTTCTTATAAAATTTTCATTATTGAACCCAGGGCCTCTTACAGGGTAGGCAACTGTTTTGCCACTGAGCCACACCCCAGCCCTTTTAAAAAATTTTTATTTGCCATAGGTTCTTGCTAAAGTGCACAGGCTGGCCTTGAATTTGTAATTCTCCCATCTCAGCCTCTGGAGTATATGGGATTACAGGCACACCCTACAACACCTGGCATCATTTATTCATTAACATTTTGTGTTGTTTTTAATATGACACAAAAAAGGATAACAATGAACACAAGTTACTAATAGTTTAAATCCTCTGTGTACTCCTTCCTCCCTGATGACATTCTCATCCCTTAGAGACAGTCACTATCCTAAATTTGGTGTTTATTCTCATGCATGTCTTTTTTTTCTGTTTGTTTCTGGGGTGCTGAGGATTGAACCTAGGGCCTTGCACATAGAAGGCAAATGATTGATCACTAAGCTACATTCCTAGGCCTTCATGCATATCTTTATACTTTTACTACGTGTGTGTCCTCAACAAAACTGGCATTGTTTAATTTAAAACTTCCAAGGTGGCATCATGCTGTTTATTTTATGCCCCATCGTAGCGCAATACTAAAGCAGCTATAGAAAGCCTGGCTGACTTACTATAAATTTTGCCATGTAATTTCCCCATGCCATGAACTATTACTCTTTGGATTTTTCTTTCAACCATTTAAAAGTGTAAAAAATATTCTTAGCTCCTGGGCTGAACACAAATAGAAGAGGGGTTAGATTTAGCTCAAAGATCATTGTTTGTGAGTCCTGCAGTTTGTCACTTCTATCAGTATTAGCATATGAAATTAAAGCTGAGAAATTTAAAAATATTTACTCATTGAAAGCTATAATAACAAAGCCCATTACATAAAAATAATTCTATTTTCTTAAACAAAAAATAATGAGAAGAGTGATGTTTTGACATTTGTGCAAATCTCTCAACACCTGGTTTAAAATGAAGACAGCTGGGGGCTGGGGATTTAGCTCAGTAATTCTGCCACCTGCCTTGCAAGCGCAAGGTCCTGAGTTCAATCCCTGGTACAAAAAAAAAAGAAGACAGCTGGATTCTAAATGGTGTTTCTGCATTTACTCTGTTGTGATGTCATATGTTCTGTGGAAAACTTCACTGTGCACTCTGAACAAGAATGGAAAAAGCAAATAACGTTAATATTATTAGGAACAACATTTTGAGTATATTGACCCTTTCAAAGTATCTCGGGGACACCCAGGGGTCCCAGAACCACATCTTGGAAACCAATGACCTACAAAATAAACCTGGAACTCTATCTAGGTGTGCAAGGACCTCCTTCCACGTTCTGGCTTTCTTTTCCTAACTTCTGCAGCACCACCACTCTTTCCACGTACTCAGGCTACACCAGTCCCTCGGGCCATCCGTCCCTGCCACGCCTCACCTCACCTCGAAGCCTTTGCACTCATCCTCCCCTCCTCCTGACGAGCTTCCCCCGCAGACTCCTTCAAGAGCCAACTTGAAGCGCTTGGCTCGAGATGCTCCTCCTTGGAGCGCCCAGCACAGAGCTGACCACTCCTGCAGGCAGAGCATAGGCTCCAATCTCCACTTGGTCATTTCCCAGCTGTGTGAGCTCGGACGAGCGGCGTCACTTCCCTGGATCTGGTTTCCTCCCTACCAAAACTATGTAGCAGTTAAAGAACCGTGTAGCGCAGAGCCCAGGAGGAGGGGTCCCCTGTACCTTGCTTGGCTCACCGGCTCAAGGCGGACTGGAAAAGATGAACCCAAGCAGCACCAGCTTCACGCTCTAGGTCGCCGGCACCGCTACTGCGGTAGCTTTACGCGCACTAATTTCTATTCTCCTCACACCAACCCCCCAGGTTAAACGCCATCGTGTCAGAAAAGTCGGCCTTGGCGAGGAGATGCCAAGTAACTCCCTCAAGCTCACCGCAGAGTCAGCTTCTGGCAGGGCGGGGACTCAGAGCCGACTACGCGTGACGGCGGGATTCGAACCAGAGTCCTACGCGACGTCAGTTTACCAAAGCGAGAGAAGCGAACCCGACAGCAGGACAAGGCGGAATCTCTCCCTCCCTCCCTCCGCGGCACCTCCCTCCCTCCGCGGCACCTCCCTGCGCCCCGCCCTCCCCTCGCGCGAGCCCAACGGCCGTGGCGCGCGCCACCTCGCGGCGGGAGGCGCGGGCCGGGCGGGGCCGGGAGCTCCCGCCCCCCTCGGCCGCCGCCGACACCGCCTCCTCTGTTGAGCCCCCCGTCGTCGGCAGCTCGCCGCTCTCGGGAGCTGCCGCCCGCCCCCTGCCCGCGTCTTCTCCTGCTCGCTGCGCAGCAGAAACATGGCGGCGGGCGGGGAGTGAGCCGCCTGCGCCCTCAGGTAAGCGCCTCGCGGCTGTCGCCGTCCGCCTATCCCGCATCCAGAGGAGTGGCCCGCGGCGAGAGGCCCTCTGCGCCTGCTCTCGGGGCGACCTGCGTGTCTGCGGCCCTCGCGCGGCCGTGTCAACCGGGCCCCGAGCCCCGGAGGCCTGCGCTGCGTCCCGGCCCAGGTCCGGCCGACCGTCCTGCTGCGGCGAGGACGGCCGGGGACTGCAGCCCTGGGGCCCCGAGAAGGTCGGCGTCGCGGGGAGGTCCGCGCGCTGTGGATCTGTCCGCGCGGGCGGGGGTGTCGGGGTGGAGGCCGGCTCCAGCCCAGGGCTGAGGTCTGCGCGGGGTCAGTTGGTGCGCTTGGACGAGAGAGGTGACAAAATGCCGGTGAGGACCTAGGGTCGCGGGCGCCAGGCTCTGGAGCTGTCAGCAGCAGTCCTCGGGACTGGGAGAACTCACGTGTGCCACCTGCCCCTGCCCAGAGCCCCAGCCGAAACGGGAGGGGAGAGCAGGTTTCAAACCTCAGACTGGGGCGGGAGTACCAGGCACCGAAGTGAGGAGCAGCCCGGGAGAACTGGACACGTGGGCTCAGCTATGAAAGGGGTTCCTAGGAGTTGGTTGAACCCCAGGACATCTCCAGATCAGGAGAGAATTTAAACTCATCCAGAGCTCCTTTTCCCCATGCCAAAGCGTTTTTGAGAATCCCAAAGATGAACCTATTTGGACAGCTCTTCCAGTGAAGGAAGCGAATGTGCTCCCAGGAAAAATTCTCAACAAATTTGCTTATAGGTTGAAAGAAGCAGCTGTCCCCCAGCTTACCTAATTCTTGGCCAGCTGTTAAGATATCTGAGTCTTGTCTTCACTAATTCCACTCCCTTCAGTCTTTTCTGATATGCTATGGTCTCTGATTACCTCTGAGCTTTAGTTTCCCCATTTCCCCCGTAGTTAAAGAAGAGCTTCTTAATGTGAACGTGAAGACAAAACTTTATTTCTCCTGGGAAGGAAGCTCCTTGGGCTCAAAGTTTGATCTGCTTAAATAAAAAGTACTCTCCCTTCCTCATTTCTGTGCTGTGTTTTGAACTTGAAAGAAAAAAAACCGTTCTAAGTAGTGTCTGTTCAAATGAGCTAAAAGAGATCTTATTTTGTGGAGATTTTTCGGGTCTTTTATCCTCTTAAAAATGTCTATAAACATTTTATCAAATGAACTAATGTATATCACACGTTTTTAAATATAATGTGCTATGCAAATAAAAGAGCTTATTATTTTTACTCTAGAAAGGATTGAGATCTACTTTGGTGCCAAACTGCAATTTAATATTTAGTTGGAGAGGGAAATGCTTTATTACACTGAATTCTTTGCTCTATTACTAACTGCCAGCAGAAGGCCCCAAATTACTATGAAAAAGAACACTTTTTGTTGCTCACTTAACAGCATTAGTTTTTGCTTGCTTTTTTTTTTTTTTTTAACTTAGCCTTAGTGGTACATAGGATAAAATTTTTTAAAGGGATCTTTTCCAACTTACAAACTCCTGCCTAAGCAACCTTGTAGATTAGTAATTTCTTAAGCCCAGTAGAGATGTGATGGCCTTATAGATAAAATGCTGAACTCTTACATCTGGGTCCCTGTTTAAATTCTAAGCAAAGTTTTACTGCTTTTACAATTTAGGCAAGCACATACCAGCAGTTGGAATTGGTTATCTTTGTTCTTGTGTCTTCATTGGTAAAAATTAGTCAGTTTTTGAAATTTGTAGCATATATGCCAAGTTTTGATTTCTGGTATGTTTGTGCAATAGTATTTCCCTTTTATGTAAGTTGGGTGAAATATTTGTATAGCACCATTCTGTACAGAACTGTACAGGTCCAGAAAAGGCTCTGAACACTTCAAAGGACTTGAAGTTATAGGTCAGTACTACTATGAGAAAGCACTGGTGTGCACATTCCATTGAAAATTTAAATTTAGCACACTCTAATCTTTACACTTATATACCTGCTATGTGTCAGGCACTATGCTATGTATTGTGCTTAGCTGAGTATACACAGATGAGTAAAGGATGTTTCCATTCCTCATGAAGCTGGCAAATTAGATGTTTAAATAGGTCATCTTGGAATAAAAGGTAGAAACTGTCCATATGATACTGTGGTTGCCCCAAAGTGAGGGCCTCTAGACTAGCTTAGAAGGAAGGCTTTGAGAGAAGAGATGACACCTGACCCAGATACTTAAATGGTCAGTAAGAGAAAACTAGGCAAAATGAGTAGAAAGTGCTTCAGACAGAAAACAGCTTGAACAAAAGAATCAGTGTAAGAAAAAGAATGGCTCCCATAAAGAACCATAGCACTTGGGATTGCTAAGAATATGACAGTAAAGCTATGTAAATTGTGGGGCCGAAAATAAACGGAAGCCATATCATGGTGGACTTTGTATGCATAAATATTTTGAAATTAATTCAATTGGAGATTTTTGTTTTTAGTCACTGAAAAAAATGATCAGATATAATTGAAGTAACATTTTTAAAGTGGTCCTAGAAATGGAGAGAAAAAGATGAATTTGAGAAAATCAGTGAGGTTGGGTGTACAGGTGAGAAATTGAGAAGTCTAGTGTGATGCTTAGATTTTGGCTTAGGTTAGTAGGAGGGTGGTGGTAATATTAACTGAAACAGGAAACTGGGTGATAAGTTGTTTTAGACTTGAAGATTTTGTGTTTTCTCTTTTGGAACATTCAGCGACTTTTTATTTTTTTAGATTTGTGGTCATAAAGTAGAATATTGATATATTTTTTTCTACAGGGGATTGAACTTGAACCTTGAGCTTGCGAGGCAGGCGGCGGCACCACTGAGCTAAATCCCCGGCCCTGATATATTTTTCTTAATAGGAAGTTAAGTTTCCTGATCTGGAGCTGTTCTAAATGACAGCTAGGTCTCTGTGTGAGTAGCCGAAATACAGCAGAAGTGAAAGTCAATGAAACTGAATATAAGGAACTGTAAGGCTAGTATGTATTCAGTGTATCATTATTTGGATAGTGAAGTGATTTAGAATGATGGGATGTAGGGAAAAGAGGAAGATTGTGACCCAGGTGCAGTAAAGATAGGAAATTAACCAGAAGGGTGGTAGATGACAGATGAAGAGGCAGAGTGGAGAGTGATATAGTCAGATGGTACAAACCTCAAAGGAGGAATTTTTAAACCAAGAGTGGAAAGTTAATTTTTTTTTTTTTACTTTTCCTTCCTGTATACAGGGTTCTGATCTCTTCATCTTTATTTAAGACTCATATTATGCTGTTTGTTCTCAATCTTGAAAAGTAGGAGGGCAAATACCCAATATCAAATCCTTTCTGCTAATATGTAAAGACATGTAAGATGATTAGTGGCCAGACAAGAAACAATCAGATAAAGCAGTAAGGATATACCCATAGTGTTTGGGCAGAGTATAGTGGAAAGAGTCTAGGTTTTGGAGTTGTTAAGACCAGATTCAGGTTGCGACACTGTATTTTACTAGTCTTATGACTGACTAAGTAAATTATTTTGCCTCTGTGAAATTCATTGTCCTTATCTATTAAAAAAACAAATTTCTATTTCATAAGGTGGTACAGATTATATTACACACACATATAATCAGTAGAAAAGCAATTGACACTTGATAGATGTGAATCATTGTTAGTTCCTTCCACCTACCTTTAAGAGGCTTATATTCTGCTAGCAGAAATCAAACTTTTTCCTGCTTACTAAATTCTAAGACAGAATACAGTGACTACTCCTAGGGAGGTAAAAGCATAGTGATGTAGAAGGGAGCCATTATTTCTCAACATTCAGAAACAATGTTAAACTTCACATTCAAGATAAATTTTATTTGGGCATTGGAGAACGAAGTTCAATAGATTAATGATTTAGGTAGAGATAAAAAGTAGGTCAAGTATAGATTATGTTTGTTAAGATCATCACTGCCACAAGTTTGCATGTGTCAATAGCGGGATATGTGGCTAGAGAGATTGGCTGGGTCTATTTTGTATGAAAGACCTGAAACTATACCATTTGGAGTTGATTCTAGACACACTAGAGAGCAGCCATTGATTGTATATCTACTCTCCCTACCTCAGTTTAAATTGTGTAAAATTTATAGGCATTAATTTAGAACTGTAGATTTTGTTTGAAGTAGACCAAGTAAGAAATTCCACATTTGAAAATAAGTTCCTATGTAGGCCAGTTTTATGTTAAAAAAAGAAACTACTAGGGTTTGTTTTGAAGTTGTAGTCTAATTTTTGCAGTTACCTTGTTTGGTAGATATGCTTAGTGAAATTAAGAAACATATAAGATCTCATCAGTAGAAAGTGACCAAAATGCTCTAATTTCAAATTCTTTTTCATCTTAGTGTAGTAATTTAGATTTGAAAAGAAGCTTCAGCTCCTCAGTGTAACTGTACAACCCTGGGAAGCTTCACTTCGACTCTTGGATCCTTTGTTTCCTCATTTGTAAAATAAGGGAAGGTGTAGCTGTAAGGTTTAAATTAAGCATGTGTAAAGTTCTTGACATAATATTGGTCACTTACTAGAAACTGATATGTAATATCACTCCCTCTTCATCTATAATTTATACTTTTGCCAAGAGTTTAGTGCTAACTCCATGGCCTTTGCAGATCTTCTAGAACTATTTTGATAACCTTATGGCTAGATAAATTCATCAAGCCTTTTTATTTATTTATTTTGTTTGTTTGTTTGGTGTGTGTGTGGGGGGGGTGTCGTGCCAGGGTTTTGCTATGTAGTCCAGGCTGACCTTGAACTCACTATGTAGCCCAGGCTGGCCTCCAACTCAAAGGATCCTAGTGCTTCAGCTTCCCGAGTGCTGGGCTTTTAGGCACGTGCCACCACACCTGGGTCCTGAACTCAGAAAATTTTATCATCTGCTGTCTTTGTCCTAGCCTCTCCAATTATCTGTTGACTTTTGTACTGTTACTCCTCTAGATTCTTCTTCCTGTCTCCCAATCCTTCTTATTTGTTCTTTCTCAAATCTTTGTTTGCTCATA